TATCCACGCTTCTACATTGGTTGCTTGTTGTTGTTCCAATTGTTGTTGGATTTGTTCACTCCATGTACGTTGCACATTTAATAAATGTGAAGATAAGGATTTTTCTCAAAGTCTTCAAAGCCGATGCAAACTGCAGGGTAATGCACCACTACGCAGCATCCACTATTACCACTACCTGAACGAACACTGCATTCTGAATTCGGTTGATAAGATTTCTGGAGTTCTGCTGCACTAGAGTACAAAGAAACACATCGAGGGCGAAGGTGGTTTGAGGAAAGTGGCGCACACAATCACACGCATGGCCAGGGCTCGAATACCGGCGAGGTATCCGCAACAACCAAGCATCCCATTCCTCCAAGATCGGTTGATAGATAACGGACTCGTTTGGGAAGATAAAAGCAGTACATCGGCTGAGCATCACAAGCCATTGTGTGGGCATCATACGCATTCGCACTACGCTGTGATTCTGTATCAAAGTCGTATGCGAGGGCTATTCCCTCAGACGGGATTGGTCACCCCCGGAGACTTCCTTCTTTGGACTTGAGAGTACATCGAACGTTTGGAGTTTATGTGTATTACTGAATGATTTTCTAGAACGTTGTTTTTTTTGTAGAAGATGCTACATTTTTTGTCACCATCTCACTAAGTTGATGAAAGAACTCACTATAAGGATCACAATGACTTAATGCTGCTTGTCCCGTAACTGATTTTATATCCATCCCACCCCATTTGGGAAGAAAGCCAAGTATTTTCTGGCTCATTCTTATAATCCCGATCCCCGTTGGTCATATCCGAGGATAGAGTCGAAGAGAACCCTTGTGAACGGAGGCTATTCATCACTCGAGATGCCACCCGGGGGAACCGGCTTCCAAATACGATGTGATACGCTCACATAGCCTATGAGGAAATCTACGACAACACAACGAACGCCTCTTAGGTTTAGGAAACGTGAACTGAGAGGCTTCTCCGTTGCCAAAACAAAAGGTCCAGAAGTACAAAAAATGAAAAGTGAAATGCTAGACCGCTAGTATTCCCAATGCGGTACCTGACACCTGTTACAGTCATGGAGAACATGAATTCTGCTGTGATTTGAGGATGGCGAATTTTTCCGGTGACGGACAGACATACCATCTAACTAAAAAAATGGTCGCTACCCCACAAGAATAGGCGTGGTTTCGGTGATGTAAATAATATGTAGCACAGTAAAAGCATTAGCACAAAATTTAGTAAGTCTGAAAGCTGCCATCATAGTCGTCGTTCGGCCCGTGAGCG